AGAGAGAGAGAGAGAGAGAGAGAGAGAGAGAGAGAGAGAGAGAGAGAGAGAGAGAGAGAGGGAGGGAGGGAGGGAGATTCATGTCATGAGATCAATGCAGATCAATGGGATGTGTTAATGAAACGTCAGTTTCAGGTGCAAGGCCGACCACTTCTTTGTAGCTGAGCATGGGGTCCGTACGCATCTGTTTGCCTACCAGCAACATGCACCTCATGTTTTTGAATTCTTTTCTGTTCTCTTACTGGTGCTCATCGGCATAGAAAAGAGTAGTTCTACACGGGCAAAGGCAGGAGGAAAGGGGGGAAGGGGGTGAAGGGTGTGGGAAGATGAGAAGGAGAGTGGAGAGAGGAGAAGAGCAGGGTGAGAGAGGAATGCCATTGGGACGTTAATACGCACTTGTAGAGCAGACTGTTAGAGACTGGCGCAAGAGGGCCAGTCAGCAGTTCTGGATCAAAATGTGCTGAGAAGCAGGCATTACCCATGATAAGTGGCCACCTCTGCAGACCGGACAGGACCCGTTCGGGTGGGGTGGGGGCCTGTGGATTCACCACTACCGTCTTCACCCGAATAGAACGCACGGTCATTATCGTTGCATCTGGACCGAAAGTTGTGCCAAATACAGGTATAATGACCGGGCGTTCTATTCGGGTGTAGAGGGTAGCAGTTGCGGTCACTGTGTTGAATGGCAGACATATCACAGGCAACATACCTCCCACGATCTGGGATCACACATGCGTGACGACCGCAGTTGTATAAGCACGGAAGTAATGGAAAGGATGGTGGCATAGTACATACTGATGACGGAGACTAAGGGCCGTTTACAACCCTATAAAAACAACAGAGGGGTCTAGCTTATGATCGAGGGGAGGTAATGGATGCTTTGACTGTAGACCCCACTGATGACAGAGCCTAGGATCCCAACAGACTGGCGTCCTGTCAAACAATGCTAAAAATAACCACAATAACAGCATCACTACCGTCTTCACCCGAATAGAACGCCCGTATAGTGGTATTTGGTGCAACTTTCAGTCTAGAGACAGTGATAATGACCGGGTGTTCTATTTGGGTGAAGACGGTAGGTAGGGAACCTGGACTTCTCGAGGGGATGTCATGAGGTTAGACCTTGGCTAGGGAGGGGCCATTAGACACTGCCCCTGTGATATCTACGCTATAGCTCGGGCCCAGTTCATAACAACAATGCCGATTGGGGACACACAGGGGAGTCTGAACGCCCTCAGGAAAGGCCTGTAGGCGCGCGTTCTCACCTAGCTCCCGAAGTACCCGTGCAACAGGGGCTTGCACGGCATTCGCTTCAACCAGGGCGGAGTGGGGAAGTAAGGGTCCCTCCGCTCAGCCCGGGTGCCTGCAACCGCTGTCTGGTCAGGTCACCTAGCCGAGTTGGTGATGGATGAAGGTCCTGGGTGGTCCACACTAAGGTAGGACAGAGGGGGGTGGGTGTGCGCCAGCGTAATTGATCAGAGGAAGGGTGGAGGGGTGTCTTCTGAGGGGGGTTACCAAAGAAAAAAAAAAAAAAAAAAAGGTTCCAGCCACTGTCTATGAATAGGACATGACATGGGCCATACCCTTAGGCATGGTGAGGGTATGGCCCATGTCATGTCCTATTCATGGACACTGTCCATGAATAGGACATGACATGGGCCATCTCCAACATACCTAAGGGTGTCGGAGATTAGTACTGTGTTCACTGTCATGGAAACGAAAAAAACACTTTCATGGGCTATACAACTAAAGAATGCCGATCACATGCTAGCCAAACATCAGGTGAGTCATCACAGTGTGGAAGTGAGCAAGTTTCTTGGTCTGCCACTGCCTGTGCTGTGTGTGTTTTTCTTCTTCTTCTTCTTCTTCTTCTTCTTTTGTTTTTTTTTGTGTTTTTGTTTGTGTGTGTGTGTGTGTGTGCGCGCGCACTCGTGTGAGTGCCTGTGTCTGTGTAACTTGTCAAGGGCTGAAACATATTCAGCCCTTCCTTCAACCGAAAAAAAAAATCTAACTGATGCGATTGAATCATGTGGTGAACCTTGGCTAGGGTACAACGTCCCTTAGGATAGACAGAGTCCAGAGTTGATAGGCCCAGCTGAATGAGGGCAGAAGTATAGGCCCAACGGGCCCGAAAACAGAGCATGAGTGTTCTTTGTCAGTCTGGTGCGAGATATCTGTTCTCGATCTTCCAACGCTGGCTTGCTGAGATTCTACTCTCCATCATCTTTTCGCACAAGCTTCGGGTGGGAAAAAGGTGCAATGCGTGATGGTTGTTCGAGGCCCATTCTGCGGCATTGAAGCGCTTTTTGAGACATGGGATGTTTGTCCTTCCATGTTACAGGTCTGATCTGGTGAGCGAATCTCTCGATCGTTCTTGGTAAGTGAGGATGATGGCGATCCAGCAATTAGGTCCAGTTCTTCTTGGCCTCCCAGGGGCATGGTCAGAAGACCCATTGGAGGAGTGCGATCGCTACACGACAAAAGTCGGAGGAGTTGCGGGATGGCCAGAAGGGTTCAAACCTCAGCAGGAGCTTCTTTGTTGTCGTGTTTGTGGGCATGAATTGGCGCTTGTTGTGCAGGCCTATGCCCCTCTTCCACATGGTTCAAACCTCAGGTCAGCGGAACGGACCTTGTACTTGTATGGTTGTCTTCAGAAGGGATGTGGAAGTAAACCACTCTGCTGGAGGGTGTTGAGAGTTCAGCGGCTTGACGATGAAGGAGCGGCGGTGCGAGCTGCTGCCACGCAGGGATTGCTTGATGAATGTACAGGACATCGAACCCAGATGATGACAACACCAGAAAATGGTACCGCAAACTGCCGGCAGGCGGAGGTTGGAGGAAATGCAGAGGCTGGAGAACTGCAACCGAATGACAACCAACTGGTGGATGCTCCGGGGGTGACGACAAACCAGATCGGCGAATCTTCACAAGGTGGTGGCGACAATGACAATCTATGGGAGGAAACTTCGTCGTGCTCGGATCCTGTGCCGGTGATCCCAGAGAGCATTGAGGACTTTTTTGGAACTTCCGGTGGCGCCGAGGATTGGGTGGTTGATGTGGGACCATGGGACTTCGGTGCCAAAGTAGTTCAAGAGGGTAGCAAGGCTTTTGATTTAGATGAGCTTTCGGCAGCAATAGAAGCTGCGGGAAAGAGCGCAGCAACCGCGAAAGAAGGCAGTGGAAAAAAGAGCAAGAAGAAGAAGCAGCAGGAAGCACTGCAGAGCACAACCCGCGGCCCTGCACCCATTCGCCGACCTGCGGAATGTGGTGACGTGCTCCCTTGCTTTTATGTGTACTCGGAGGATGAGCCTTCAGTGTCCGGGCGACCCGAAAAGGGTGTCGGAACAGGTGGTACTGCGTGCACCTCAACGATGTCCTGTGAACCAGCTGACAAGGGGTCAACTGCAGAAAATGCGGGCGTGCAGGAAGAAGCTTGGGGGGCAGAGGATTATGAATACGATAAGGCTTTGTCCGTCGGCCGAGATTTCCTCAAGTTCAAGAAACGACTAGATCGTGCTCCGGAACAATGTCTTCGTTATCAGCGCAACGGCCATTTGATTTGGCCGTCTTCGCAACTTCCTACTCAGATTGCGGATTGCGAGACATGTGGAGAGCCCCGTGTTTTTGAAATGCAGTTAATGCCACCTCTACTGTATTTTCTTCAAGAGGCTGTCAGGACCGTAGATCACCAGTATCCTGAATCAATAGCTGATTTTGATTGGTTGACGGTGGCAGTTTTCACTTGTTCGCAGAGCTGTGCTCAAAGATCTGGACAGGATGTTCGAGGATTAGGATTGCCAGAGTGGGGTGTTTTCGAGGAAGCCTGTGCTGTTTTCCGTGAGGCGTAGCTTCTTTCTCTCTCTCTCTCTCTCTCTCTCTCTCTCCCCCCCCCCCCCT